GCCATTTCTAAACAGAAAGGAAAGGCCGCAATGTGTGGCACAATTAAAAACGAAGGTAGCTACTTTGCCCTTCATTCAGAAGAAACCCCCTGTTTGTTCATTTTTTGCTCAATCCTGTTTAGAGGCCCAAATATATCCATTTGTACTGTACACACTTGAAATCAGCCCATAAAGAATATTATCTTGTCTGTTTCAAGTAAAACAGACCAAAACATATTGGTTTACTACGTCTTTCTTTTTCCTTGAGTGATTATCACCTGTTCACTTTTGGAGTATTCCACGTTTTTAGTCTCTTAATATACAGTCATCTTGTAATGTCTTCTCGTCGAGCAGCGTTTCGGTGTAGAGGAATGTTTTCGCTGGTCTTGTTTGATCTTGCTTTACGTAGCCATGAGACTCTTACAGTTTATGAGGAGCTGTCGAGCCGCATGTGCTTGATCATTTGGTTCGGGGAGGGGAGGGAGCCAAAAAGCTTAATCGTGCTCCCTGGAAGGACAGCAAAGGGGGCTGCGGCCCCCCCCCCAACACCCCCAACCCCCCCATCTGACCGAGAGGCAGAGAGAGAGAATGACTGACGTAATTAATTTACACCGGGTGTGTGTGTGAGAGTGTGCGTGTGCGTGAGTGTGTGCGTGTGTGTGTGTGTGTGTGTGAGAGTGTGTGTGTGCGCGTGTGTGTGTGTGTGTGTGTGTGCGTGTGTGCGTGTGTGCGTGTGCGAGCGCAGACTTGTTCATTGTCGCAGCATCATCACGTCTCTCGGCGGGAGGCTCGTCGTTTTATTCGGGTGTCGTTGTTGTTCGAGGTTATGAAATCTTTTCCATTGGACGCTGTAGTGGATTTTGTCTCCATCGTCTTGGACTGATGTTACCGATCTGACGTCCTGCTGTGAAGATCGATGATGAATGTTTATGATTTCCACTCATGTTGCTCTTTTTAACCACACACAGGATGCAGAATGTCACATGCCAAGTAGCATTTTTCTGTCATTTATTCCACAATCTTTTCACAAACAGACCAACAGAAAAAGTCACCACTGAGCCCCCCCCCGCGCCTTCCTGCCCCCCTGCTCATGAAGTCCACTGGCAATGCACTACTCGTAATGAAGGCTCTCCTCGCATTGATGAAGTTTAATTTAAGATGAATGACAGAGAAATCATGCAGGTTATGATTTATCCTAAATGATACTTCTAAAAAGCCCCTCCAGGCAGAGCATGCTGAGCCCCCCTGGATCCCCCATCTGATCACTTGCTCCCGGTGCTTTTACAGGTTTTTCTTTCTTTTCTCAACGGCAAAATGAAAATGTCAGGTGTGCGCCGGGGAGATTTCGACCAACTAATTGTGATTCCTGAGCACAACTCGTTGCTGCATTCAGACCAACGTTCATTCCCACTAGTTTTTCATGACCAGTTTCACCTTCCAACCTGCTCCTTTCCTTTCATGGAGGGTGAGCCCCCCGCGCCTTGCAATAAGACCCCGACATTGCACATTCCAGCATGTGACAGCCGTGTTAAGGGAGCACACAGCACACGCCTCGCAGGGAACGCCATCCAGCAGCTTTGGTAGGGAGGTCAATGAGTTTCACTTCAGCAATCAACCACTTTTATATTTATTATTAGTGTTGTTGTTTTTTTCTTTTTTAGTCGTTGATGTGTTCTGATATCTTGTTCTGTGACTACCAAAGATAAACTACAGAGTTGTGTGTTTCATGCAATAGCAGATAAGGCCAAATATCTCCTCAAAAATGCTCCTCAAACTGGTGTTTTCGTTCTAGTTTTTAAATTTTCTTTCTCCATAAAAACCAAACCGAACAGGACGGCCAAAGTAGGAGTGTTTTTTAGTACTTTAGTTTGGGCCGGCGGGCGGAGAAGGAAGCTCTTTGGTCAGCGGGTGTGTGTGTGTGTGTGTGTTTGTGCGCAATATAAAGGGGACGTAGATTTAGTCAAGGAGGGAAAAAAATGGGAAACGCTTTGCAGGGAACAATGTGAACGGATTGTATTCTTCGACTGGGCCACACGATCTACAGTCTCTCTTCTTTAATTCCTTTTCTTCATTTGTGTCCTTTGAAATGATTGTATGCCACTTTTTAGGTGTTTTAGCGTCTTTTGGCAAGACTTTATGATTGTGTTTAGTTTCTGTCAACTTATTACTTTTTATATTAAAAAAACACTCCTGTCAACGACTAAGCTGGGTACAAGGTACTTTATGGCAGTTATTGTTATATTTCATTTATAGTTCAGCGCTCATTAGCTAATGAGAGGAAAAGGGCAGTCTGTGGTTAATATCCAGGCAGCTGTGCGATGGGTCAGTTCCAGCCAGGCCGGGATCGTGAGAACAGGGCCCAAACCCCCCGGCCCCCCGGCCCCCCCTCCCGGTCATCTGGCTGGTTTGTTTGGTATTAAAAAGGGGAAACCGCTGGTAGATTAGAACGTTCTCAGCACGTGCAGCTCGACATTACTAAAGATAACGGCATGAGAGAAGAGGTCTGTCCGCAGACCTCAGATCAGACCTTTAGGGAGTGATTCCATTCAACCACAAAGACAACAAACGTTTCCCTCAGTTGCACTTAGTTGTATGTCTTGCATGTGTAGTTAAAGATACTTTAAAGAGTAAACTACAAAAAAAAACAGAGGAATGAAATTCCAGCTTATTTATCTCCACGGTTTCATCGTCAAACATCAAACCTCAGGCTTTTTGTTCATGGAAACGTCCCCCAGCTTCACCCGGTCCTCTCCTTCTAAGGGCGTTCCCATGTTTCCGTTGTACATACATGTGCGTTTGGCCTTTGTCTCTTTCCCGTCAGTCCGTCTGACTTTTTCTTTTTTCTTTTTTGAGATCAAAAAATACATTTGTGTTCTGACGTTTGCTTCATTGCGACTGCTTTGTATTGACTATGAAATCGCTATGAGAAGAAAAAGAACTGCTGTATGTATCGGAAAAGCAAACTGTGCTGCAAATGTATTTTACTTAGTAATCCTTGCTTTAAAAAAATGAAAAAAGGGAAGAAAAAAAATCACATCATCCTGGCAGACATCGGGGGGGGGGGTTCTAAACTGTAATATAGAAGACAGACTTTTATCTGTTATCATTGACCTAAGCATTTTGTACAGGTTGTTCCCCTTTTTGTGTTAAGCTGTTTTTTGATACTTTTGAAGATTCCTGCGCTGACAGAAGGGCAGACATCGTATTTCCTCGTGCATGACTAATCCCAGGGTCACAGACGGGGGGTGGAAGTGGTCAGTAATAATATAAGGGTGTATCAAGCTAATGATATTTTATATGAAATGAATAGGAAAAAGAAAAAAATATGCAGTGCCAAGATGTAAAGAATATTGTTGAATGCTGTTTTGTTGTTTTTTTTTTCTTTTCTTTATAAAGTTTGTTTCACTCGCGCATCCAAGATGTGTCGTCCTGCACCGCGTCATGTAGGTAAAACACACGTTTCTGTTCGCCAACATATTTATATTTTAACGGGTCCAACCGAGCACAGCAGGCGGGTCAGAGGCCGGACGCTGAACCAACAACGCCGCCGCTTCATCCATGAGCAGCCATCCAGCCCGCTGTCAGCCCGCCCCCCTGATGGAGGGGGAGGGGGGGGGGGGGGCATCAAACCCAGGAGCTGTCACTCAGCTCTCATCCCGCAGCAGCTTTTCCTTTTCTTCCTCGTTCTTTTTTCTTTGAAGTTTCTCTGTAGTTTTCTTTTTTTTTTATAGAGAAATATTATTGCTCATCACTTCATCAGTGTGTAACCTCCTCGTCATTCCCCGTCTGTCTGACACAGACCACTCTGTTGTAGTCAGTGGCGCTGACTGACGTGAGCATTCTAAACATGCAATAAAATGCTGGTTGTTCAGATCCTTTGCTGCAAGTCTGGTTGATTCTAACGTTCCTTCTCATCGTCTCACTGGATGCAGAACGAGTCTGAGGACATTCGTCTTAGATCTCGGCAAAACAAAGGCTGTGTGCACTGACTGCAAGGTCAGTTAATGCATCAAAGGTGAAGAAAACGTACGACAGTAACTCGTATTTCCAGATATGTATTATAATGCAAACAAACGGGGCATGAAAAACCTCTTTGTCATTATTTTGTCCGTCGATCTGTTTGCTGCAGACCTGTTTGTCATCTGCGCCAGAACTCTCATCAGCACCAACATTAAATCGTATCGTAAATAAAAAGGCAGTTAAACTGTCTTTTCCCTCACAGCAATTTAGGTAACTGCATTTGATAAGCTATAAATTGCAACAGCATTAAAATTTCAGAAATAATAGAGCTTGGGATTTGGTGACAGGCGCTAATGCTGATGACAGGACTTGCGTTTTTACGACGGAGGCAAAGGTCACGTTGGCCACTAAACAGCAGACAGAGATCAAGTCTAAGCACTTTTAATCTTGTGAAACAAGCAATTACAAATAGTTGCATTGATTTGTTAAAAAGCTTCAGGTGACGTAAATTGTTTCTTGCTTAGCTCGAAAACATAAATGTCAAGTGTATTATTAATTAAGGCCTTTGAAAGACAAGATTTAATGGAAACGATATAAAATCACAAGCGATTTCAGCGTGGGCCGTATTTCACCGGACGCTGTGTATCGGCCGTTGATCAGATAACGGTAAGCTAAGAGGAACGCGACGTGATGGACCGTGTTTGTGTTTGAGGAACTCGTGAATGAATCACATTCACATTTGATATCATTGCAGATCATAAACAGATGAAATGTTTTATTGGGTAAATCGCTTCAGCCGACACGGACCTGTGCTCATAAACCTCTTTGCTGACAACAAACCAGTAGAACTCGTCGCCACTTGGTGCTTTGGTGGGATCACAGATACCGAAAACAGGCGGTCCCACCATAATTACCCACCCGAGTCATGTGACGTTACAAACGGGATGACCAGTGACGAGA